CATATCCTATGGATATGATATTAATATGTATTGCTTTCAATGAGTGTTTATACATGTTTATAAAGGATCTCACACTAATTATATGAAAAATTGAATTCTGAATTGAATTAGTTTTCATATATAATGCATATGTAGTGAACAAAAGATATTATTTCCGCCAATGTAGATTAACGTTAATTTCGGTTCAACTTATCTATTATATCTTTTTCTAATTTTAAGAATTAGAAAAAAATGAAGTTGAACTAAGATTAAAATTAATCTATATTGTTAGAAATGAATATTAATCTATTCTTTTTTTAGTTAAATTTCTTGCACAGTTTATCCTTTTTCGCTTTCTTTTCTCCAGCATAAAAAAAGAGAAAGGATAAATTATGTAAGAAATTTAGAGATTAGCCTTATAAACACAAGACTCAATAATGAATAGTTTTTAAGTTATTATATATATTATATAAAAGGTTCCCACAAAGTTTTACACCCTTAATACACTTCAAAAACTATCCATTATTGAGTCTTGTGTTAATAACATGTTTTGTTTATCACACGTTATAAATTATATATATATGCAAAAATTAATTAATTTCACCGGAATCTAATTTTCTATGAAATTAGTACGAGGACCTATATAAATACTCGTAAATTGTTTTATTTTCAAGCAAATATCCACAATTACAATCTCTATATATTTGCATTCATACAATTTTATGCACTGTATATTCGTTTCAATCATCTTCTTCTTTATCTGGTTCTTGTAAATGATCTAATCTAAGTTCTTTCGAGCGATCGACTTTAATCACTGGTCGATTCTGTTTACATGTCCTCTTTGGTTTCTGTCCGATCACATATTCTGGCAAAATGATTTTGCTACTTCTGAATATAGGCTTGTCGTCTGGCTCTACAATATCTTCCATTGTCTCTCTCATTCGTGGTTTTTTAAATGTGATCTGCGACGATGATGACCTTTTCTTAAATTGCGTCTCTGTAGAATTTGATTCGCAAGTCTCAGCGTTCATCTCCTCCTCACATTCGCCAATTTCTTCTTTCTTCCTACGAGCTTTCAATTCTCGCAGAAATGACATAGCAGCCTGTGTGTTACTGTGCTCCGTCATGTCTTCGTTGGATACATCATCCAGAGAATATTTGACCCATTTATGCGGATTTCTGTGATAGTCCGGAATATTTCTGAAATTCGTGCGTGGCGCCGGACCTTCTGGACGCTTAAAAATACTCTCCTTACCGCTAAACCTCTTTGTTTCTCTCTTCTGCCTCCGGTCGTCACTTGAGGCTGGCCTTTTCCTTTGTTCGACCATCTCCATATTGTCCGTCTCCGGTTTGTCATGTTTATTGCAATTACTTTCCGCAATCAAGAGCTGATCGAATAGTGCCTGCTGCCTATTGGCGAATGCTGCATCACCACCGCGTAGAGTAAAATTATTTGAGGTATGCATTTTAAAAACAGCGAGGCTTCTTGGCTACAATTATTCATTTTACAAATTTATCAGGATTTTTTAAATGATGAATTCAATATACATTAAATATCACATATTACAAACCTCGAAGTTGATGTTAAATTAGTTTACCTTTGGTTATGTTGACGTTTTGTTTCGCAACAGTAATATTGCAGAAATGTTTCGTGATGAATCGATTTTCGTTAGTTGCAAGTAAATACAATAAGCAGGATATACTTTAATTCTGCAATTGGAAGAAATGGATGGTGAAATAACTTCTTTCATCCATTCTGATCCATTCCATCCATTCTCTCACTTTTAATTCTTTCTCTTTTTCTTTCTAACGTCTATAGTACATCTATTTCATTTCAAGTGAAGAATAGTGCAGAAAGCTACACGGATGATTCCATTGTAACCTAACCTAACCTAACCTTAGCTTTAAGTGTCCAATTATACGAGCTGCACGAGCGGGAATGGTTATGCCAATTTCGAATGACGTACTGCGAAGTTCAGGTACAAACATTCTGCTTGTTACTCGCAGGAATCAATGCGTTGACACCGTAACGTGTTTCGTCTGACAAAATGAGTAAACGATTGAAGCTGGCTGGTCTCTCGGCATCAAGAACTTTACGTTCAGGCAAAACCTTCGTTAACGCAGACTCCTCGGAGAAAACGTCACCCTACTTCGGTGATGAAGAGAAAAGATTGGCGAGGACTAGCACAAAGAAACATGTACTGATTAAGATCAAGCATGAAATGGTAGAGAACGAAACAAATATCAAAGAGACACCAATAAAAAGTGAAAATGTGGAGCTGTCGACAGATGTACAAGATATCAAGACTGAAGAATGTGAGATAAAGAACGAGAATGTAGAATTCAAATTGGATCCAAAGAATGTTGAAGATAAGAAACAGTGGATGCCACCGAATTGGGAAACTATTCTTGAAAATATTAAAGAAATGAGAAAGAGCGAGACAGCTCCAGTTGACACAATGGGCTGTCACAAGTGTACAGATCCTGATGCCAGTCCTGTAGTATCTAGATATCAAGCACTAGTAGCTCTGATGCTGAGTAGTCAAACAAAGGATCAAGTCACTCATGCTGCTATGCAGCGTCTGAACACTTATGGTTGTAAACCAAATATTATAGCAACTACTTCTGATGATGATCTAGGCAAGCTTATATACCCAGTTGGATTTTGGAAAGTAAAAATCAATGCTTATTTATTTACAAGATTTTTCTTATCTTAAACTTCTTGTTATGTTTATAAATTCATTTACTAACCCATTTAAAAATTTATTTTCTTTTTAGTAATTTTTGTTTTAATTTTTGTTTATATGTTAAACTGTTAAGTTATTTGTAATTATACATATTTTTATGAATTTCCTATTAAGTTTACAGTTAATAATTTTTTTGTATTAAAAATGTTTTTTTTCTTTTTAGAAAAAGGTAAAGTATATAAAAAAGACGTCAGTGATCCTTCTAGACAAATATGGAGGTGACATACCAAAAACAGTAAAAGAGTTGTGCGAGTTGCCAGGAGTAGGTCCTAAAATGGCTCATTTATGCATGCGAACTGCCTGGGGAGAAGTATCTGGTATCGGGGTGGATACACATGTTCACAGAATAGCTAACAGATTAGGATGGGTGAAAAAATCGACCAAAACACCAGAGCAGACGAGAAATGAGTTGGAAGATTGGCTTCCTAAGCCTTTGTGGAGCGAAGTAAATCATCTCCTCGTAGGATTTGGTCAAGAAACTTGTCTACCTCGATTTCCTAAATGTTCAGAATGTCTCAATAAGGATATTTGTTCCTTTGCTTCAAAAGGTGGAAGAACAAAGAAATGATAAATGCATGTTTATAATGTAATACTTTTTACAAAATATATTTATTTAAAATTTGTGCAGTAAATTTATCAAATTTCCTAGCGCCTAGATTTCTTTTTACTCCTCTTGCCACGTTTGTGCACTAGCCCCTGTGTTTTCTGCAATTTTTGTTTATTTTGTTTTTTGTTTTTTTGTTGTTCTAATCTTTGTTTTTGTTGAAATGCCTTACTTTTTTTTATGCGTTTTAACGCTGCTTTTTTTATTTCTTGTTTTAATTCTTTTGCAGATTTTATCTCATGACTGTTGGATTTAGATTTTGGCTGCACTTGATTCTTACATTTCTCTTGCAACGACATTCCCACAATCTTATCATCATCGTCGTCATTGTAACTTTGGTCACTTTCATCATTTTCTTGTTCTTCTTTTTCTTCTGTAATTTTGTTTTCACCTATCCATTTTTTTCCTTCTTTAAGATCTGCAATGTTCAACTCTAAAATACTAACTGTATGACTATCTAGATCAAATTCTTGTTGAGATAATAATTCTTGCAGCTCTGGGACGACTTGATTCGATAATGATTTCTTATAACGTTCTCGTGCCTAAAAAGAAATATCTTTTTTCAATTCTTCAAGAAATACTTTATTTTATTTTATAAAGTAAAATAATATGTGACTCACTTCTTGTTTAATTTTCTTTCGTTCTTCTTTTAGTTGTTGCTGTAACTGTTCCTGAGCCTTCCTTTTTCGTTCTAGTTTCCTCTTACGAAATCCTCCTAAAAATTCTCTACATTTTTGGATAAATATAAATTAATTTGTATCAACATATATGTAAGTACATGTCAATTACAAGTTTTGCACATTAATTACCGTCGTTTCTCTTCATCGAAGACAAGCGTGATCTTTTTTCGCCTTTTCGGTTGGCTGGGTTTTCTATTTACATTAAGTAATTGTGGTTGAGAATTTTTAAACATAATTGTAATTATATTTACGATAGGTTATTTCCTACACTAGTTACTAGAGATTGGTTATCGAAAAATACATGTGTTGATCGTACGATCATGAACTGCAAGTGCAAACAAGTGCAAATGTGATACGACTTCTGCAAAATACCATGGTGGAAGGACTCGGGTGTGCTCTTGCGCATACATTTCTAACAGCAAATGAGAACGTGGCATCATATGCTGCCATGTTGTAGCGGTTATTTGAATTAAGCTTTATTATTTTGCCTGTTATTATTTTACTTATTTTACTATTATTATACTTATTTATTTATATTTGCTGACAATATAATACATTTGATTTTATCTTTTTTTATAATAAAAATTAATTTTCCACATTTTATTTGACAAATACCCATTTTGATCTCTCGAACTATCACAACAAAATTTAAAATTAATTTTTTTAGAATTTTTATAGGTATAAATCGAATATTTAAATATTATTTATTTAGAAGATTGCAATACTCTCAGTATTTCCATATCTATCTATTGCATAATAAATTAAATTTTGTCATAAAATCAGTCATAAAATAAATCTAAAGATCTATCTTCTTAATCATCTTAAGGCAGACAATGAATTAGGATTATCTAGTTCTAATTTAGCTTTAAAGGAGACACTTCTTATAAGCACAGTAAACACGTAATACAATACTAGATTTATTATTAATCTCACACATACATTGAAAATATAGATTACAATTTTGAATGCAGAAATATACTGTTTAGAAATGATGCAAAAATACAGGAATGAAATTTTACACTTGTATTTATAAAATAAAGTTTATTATCATAAGATTTATCCCCTGCCTCTTCCAGGTTGAGATCCACCTGGTTGATTCTGTTGATTCAGCCAAGGTGCCGAACCAGTACCTTTGCCTCTTTGATTTTGTCCTCTCCCTCTGCCACGAGCTGGAAACATTTTATTACATAAAATTATCAAATGTATATAAGTGTAACATATGCGAATCTTATCTTAAAAAGGATTTAAACTAACAAGAAATATTTATTTTGCATACACATTCTTAAATATCTTATATTATTAAATATTGTGCATAAAACCATTAATATTATTTTCTAATTGAATGATTAATAATAATGATTAATAATATAACTTAATTACTTTCTATTTAATTATTCCAATATAATTCGATTTTAAAACAAATATTAAAATTTTATTTCTATTCGTTTTTCTTTGTTAGATCCAAGAGCTTGTTCTGATATACTGTCAGTACTAAAAATCTATAATCCATGTTAAGTCCATTCTACAATTGTATAAGTATAGTTGTGTAAGTAGTTGTAGTTGGAAGAATTAATAAATATTATATTTATCAGATTAGAAATTAAGTTCTCTTTCTTTTGATTGATTGATTCCAATCTAATTCAATTTCTGACACAGGATTAAAACAATTGTAAAATGGACTTCACTATACTACAGATTTTCAAAATTAACAGTGTATATCAGAATAAGACCCAAGTTTCTACTAACTTAAAGTAATTTTAATCTCAATTTACTCTTCACTTTCTTTTAATTTTAAAAGATGAATTTAGAAAATGAAAAAGAACTTAGAAAATTTATGAAGAGAAACTCGAATCGATTAAAATTAATCTATATTGATAGAAACAAACATTAATCTTTTTCTGCTTTCTTTTATAAATATCCATGTTTTTCAGAATATAGTATAAAGATTTATATAGTATAAAGATTTTTAGAATATAATATTGCACGGTTAATAAAACTGTTAACATTAACAAATACTGATTATAAACTGAAATATTATTGATTATGTATATAATATTGATGGATTAAATTGATGGATTACATAGAATACTGACAAGATGAAATTTTGATTCTCAAGCAACAGTATTGCTTTATTAAGATCCATATCACAGTATATCAGAATAACAATAAATAATGTACACAAAACTAAAGAGAAATATATTGTCAATAATACTGATCGATAAGATTGTAAAAATACTGAAAATATTGATGCATACTGTCAGTAATATTAATTCGATATTACTGATCATTATTATTAATCATGTAGGGTTACCTAACTTCGTCTATTAATTTGAACAGATTGCAGGAGTACACAAACCTTGAGCTCGTAATATTGCGGACTTTCCTCTACCGGCTGTGCCCGATCCTTTGCCACCAGGTCGTTTAAACATAGGTGCGTTTTTCAACATATCTGGTAATATGAGAAACCTAATTTTCGAGCCGCGAATGTATACATTCTCTAGCTGTCCCACTTGGCCATCCCGATACGTCACTGTAATATTCTGCATTTGACAATTCATATTATCCTCGGCTTCTATCAATTTGCCACGATATACCTCGCCGGTATTCGTCTCACAGGTTATAATATGACCCTCAGCCTCGTGGAGCACTTTAATGGGAACTCCGATTGACATTGTCGCTAAATAACGCTGCGGACGCTTTTCTTAACTTTAAAAATTCTTGTAAACCGTAATTTTCATTAAAAATATTTTTATTCCGTATTTTCCTCTATACTTCAAAAGCGTTGCAGCAAACGCAGCGACTATAACAATATGAACTATATGAAATAACGAGATACATGATATAAGAATACTCCTAGATGTTCCGTTCCAATGATTGCGCAGTAGCAGCGTAAATTTGGACAAAATTTTGATTGGCTATTTCAATATGCCAACGCTATATTATACGCAAGAAAGTTAATTTGAGCAAAAATTTGATTGGTTGTTTCCAGTATTGCTATCGCCATTAGCGCAACGGAACACCTGATATTCTTACATCATGATGAGATACAAGTCAATAAGTGTATCGATATATCGAAAAAGATCGATGTCGATTGTCTTTCCTGAAATAAATTAATTTCTTATATAAATATTCTTTTAAGCATCTTTATTGGATATTAAATATTAATATATAATTATTTTTTATTTGACTTGATTATTTCCTCACATCTTTATTCTTGGAAAAAATATTGCGCATGCAATATTGGAAAGCCAGTTCTACATTAGTTGCAAACCGATTGCAAGTTTGTTGCGACAGCCAATCTGAAGCTTGCATTTTGAAATCAACGCTTCATATTGGCTGATCGCAACAAACTTGCGATCAGCTTGTAACTAATGTAGAGCCAGCTTTATAAATTCAAGAAGCTCTCAGAAATGGAATAATAAATCTGTTTTTGTGAAAAAAGTGAGAAAAAAGTTCTAATTACAGAAATAAAAAACAGATCCAATGGGTATGTCAATTATGTATGTGATTGCCGAAAAGCAACTTTGCAATTGTTAAGTAAAATTCTTTAATATGATTGGCTTGCTGAACATTGTTAAACATTTCATATTACTACATTTTCATGCAATCGGTTGTGTCTTTTGGATATGATTTTAAAATCATGAAATACTGATTTGCATGATGGAAACACCATGCTTCGATCAATCGCAATGCTAAGCTTGTAAAATAAAATGGTCTACGCTGAATGCCTACAAATATTAAGTTACACTACGTTACATCGTTATGTAAATTCATTAAAATATCTCGATTTCTGATAGAGATTGCGGATTTTATGAATAAAAAAAACAAACGTATTTACATTTATTAAAGCTTAAAAACCCATTTATCCTCACATTTTGCTCATTGAAATATGCAATCATTATCACATAATGCCTTATTATCTACATTACTTTAAATTCTTTCCGTTCATCGTGGGTGTTGATATTCATACAATAATTGTAAATACGATCAAAGAGGCGTTTACGAGACTCAATTTTACGCAATTTTACATATAGAGGAAGTTCTAACCAAATTAAAAAAGATTAAAATAAAATAAAATAAAAAATCATTTTCTTCGAATATCTAATTTCTCACAACATTTTTATTAATGTGAAAATCGCGTTTGTTCCTTTTCATGTTTTATTTTCCTTCTCATCATGATATTTTTTTCTTTTAATAATTGTAAATATCTATTTTAGAAATATACTTCTATGTATTATTTTAACTTTTTATTATATTTTTCGATAAACTAACGCATTAATAATAATTTTTTAATAATGTATCATATAATAAAATTGCTAAAATCAGGTGTGTTGTATTACACACAGAATGTATAAAAAATATAAAAAAAACAATGCGATTCACGTTTATTATTAAATTTTTTAAAGGCATCGTTATACGCATAACAATATAAATTTCGGTCAAGATAGCATCGAGTATTCAACGTGATAAAAGATAAACCGTTTATTGCAGCAAAAATTTTCATTACAGAGAAAATAAGGTCGCACCTCATTCAAATACGTTCGGGAGAAGTTACCTCATCTCTTCTCTCTTTTTCTTTGTACATTACGGCTACAATATAATTCGATGAGGTGCTAATTAAAGAACCCTATACAAAGTAGTCGAGAACACACAAAAAACGATTTCCGGCTTTCGTTTAGGGGCGATGCATTTATATATATTTTGTTTTTAAATATACATAAATATAGTCTGCTATAATTATTAAACGTTTCAAGAATTGTCAAAAGGGCCCGTAAAGGCCTGGGAAGAAAGAGGATGAGGCGTCGTTGAGGAATAAGAAGGAGGGAAAGAGGGAAAAAGCGTAGCACACTAACTTTCTTTACGTACGCGAAACCTAAATGTCTAAAGCATTTCAAAGAGGATGGTAATTGTAATCATATAATATATATTAAAGTTGATGTTACTTTTTTAATAGCTTAAACGTACTAATATCAATCGTAATAATTACAAGCATCGTGTTACGTCCTTATATAGTCAGCCAAGTACGATCATCGCTGATAAACTTTTTTTTCCTCTCTCTCGCTCTTTTTTTCTCTCAATCTCTCTTTTTCTCTCGCCTCTCCTATAAATCATTTATGTTTCCGCACGCATTCCTCTGCCTCATTCTCCCAGGCATCTCTATTCTTCACATACGCATTCCCTCAATCACTCTCTTCCTCTTTCTCTTTCTCTCGGTCATTCTATCGCTCTCGCTAGGCAAGATTATTCCGATATTGCGATACACGTTAGAAAAATATGCTATGCCTAAAATAGGATGAAGGCCTGAAGGCAACCATTCCGTCGATATTACTGATAATCGGTGTCTGTGTATGTAATGTGTATGTAATGTGTACGTGTAAATGTAAATGTGTATACGTGTTAACATGGTGTGCGTTTTTTTTCTATACACGATTCTGATTTCTCTCATCAGCGTTCTTAAAAAGGTGCGCCAAAAAGGAAAAAAGAACAGATCCATCGACAACAATAATATCTTGATACAAGATAAAATATATGTATGTATATATATATATGTATATATTGTCTATGTGAAATCGGCGCATATAAGTCGTCCCGTAAAGATCGCGGAGAAATCGTGCTCAAATTATCCATTGATGATTATACCGAAAGTGTAGTCTTTTTCGATTGCCTTAATTTCTAGGTATCGTTAAGTCGCAAAAATTTTCTGGAAACTTTCAGCTGCGACGCTGACGTATCCGAGGAGAAAATCGTTCGCGGCTGGAGTACTTTCGGCGGCGACACGTGAAATATATTTGGTAACTTAATACGGGATAACTAATGCAGAGCATTCGCTTACTTGAAGCTGAAGAAAGAAAAACACATAAAAAACTTGATAGACCTTACGATTACACATTTAACAGAACGCTTCATATATTTATCGAAAATAAGATATTTGATGTACATTTTTCGATGCGACGCAAAAACAATTTTTTTTTAGGCGGATAATATTTATACAAGTCCACTAATTACAAAACAAAAAATAAAAGCACGGCAGCACAATTTAGATTAAGCGCTTTGTCCCAAAATAACACAAAGAAAAAAAAATAGAAGAAAACATTGCTACTTTGTTTTACGTGAAAATTGCAAAGTCGCACAGTGTGTTTTTTTTTAAATATTCTTTTCGTTAAAGATCCAAACTCAACTCACTCATGAAGTTCTCAAGGAATTGACCTATACGTGAGGCGTAGTTTGCGCAGTTTTATCGTCTTCATTCATCTTGTTTTACAGGAATATAATAAAGCTGGACAGCTATAGCACCTTTTCATGTATGCTATAACTTTACAAACATGTATAAGTATTTACGAGCGAAAAATGGAAAGTAAAATTCGGCACGAGTTTTAAGCGCGGAGAAGAAAAATAGAAGTATGTACGTGAATTATAAAATTTATCAGTGTAATATCCTTCGCGCACGGTTTTAGTATACGTTCACACTTTACAAACTTTAATAGTTCTCTTCTTTCGTCGTTCATATAATGCCCGGCCTCTCTAGACATTTTATTAATCATTTATTCTTACATTATGCGCTGCTGTGCAGCACCGGAATACCTCGCGCAGCTACCCTACAAAACTCGTAAAACAAGCAAAAATAAAGAAAACGAGTATAAACTAATCGACTTCAACATTAACAATTCATTTATGTTCTAAGAGAAATCGAAGAAATACGTTAAAGAGGGGTTTAATTTACAAATCCCAGATTGGCGGCCGTAGTGTAAATAATTATTTGCAATATAGGTTGAAACATATTTAATGAGTAATAATTGCTGGTTATATTCACGTGAAATTGGACATAAACACACAGTACTACTTATACTTCATTGCATTATTTATGAATCAATAGACTAATATACTTAATAATTATTAGACTAATTATTAACCTAAGATTGTGATCACCCATCAACGTCAGCCATTACCTAAGCAACATTCCCTATTTTTTACTTTTTGATATATATAAACGAAACAGTAATGTATAAAATTTCTCGAACAAACCAAAACTTCTAAGAAGACGTCCTGGATCGACTGACCGCACCAAGAGTTCTGCCTTTACGTAAAACGAGCTTCATATTTTCGCAGAATTTTCCATTTAAGTAAATTAATAAACATAATATAGAATAATCATAAACCGTAATAATCATGAAGATAATAATAGGTAATAATAGTAATAAACTGGCAGCAGTTAGTAACCAGGTATATTCTCAATTAAAATTCTCTCGCTAGATGACAATCTGAAACTTACATGGCACTGGCATCCAATTACGAATCAATCACTCACGCGCACACATTCTAATTTGCAATCTTTCGTTTATTTGTTTTGTCTGATATTCGTTTCTTTTCTTCATTTTTCTATCTTACCTCGACATTCAGCTACAAAACAATTTTACTGTCGCTCTTGTGCGCTCACTCATTCATTCTCTCGCTCGCTTACGATCTTACACGCTCGCTCGTTTCACCCCTCGACGTGCGAATCAGCTGCCAGATAATTTATCTCGTTTTCTGCGTGTTTTTTTTTATATTCTGTTTGTTTATATAGTTATAATAACCATTTTCCCAACGACTACACACTAAATAGTTCAAATTTTTTGCACTTTTTCACCAACAACAACTGGATTGTTGCGCCGAATTTCTTGAGCGCCCATTTCTTTGTAATCGAATTTGCAATCGTGCTTGTCACTGTATCGATGCACGGCGCAGAATAGTCCTCCACAACGGCACTCAAATCCTGCAAATTTATCATTGTCAAAACAACATCCACTAACAACATCATTAACTAATCACATTGCATCGCACTTACCAGTCAAACCAACTTTTTTACGACATACAGCACAACGATTTTTCTTCTTCTTAGATTCTTTATCAGTCTCTTTGCCATCAAAGGAGTCATCTACATCGCCACTACTCGCTGATGAACCTTCAGCTACTGCACTGCTTACACCTACTTCACTTTCCTGATCTTCTCTGTTTACCTGTTTGACAGAAGTAACACATACCGTATAAGAATAATGAAAATAATTATTTATTGTTATAGTTATTTTTTAAAAGTTTCCTTTCTTGATATCTCTTATGGTATCCTATTTTAAATTTAATGGAAAGAATTGCATTATTATGTTACAGAAACATATAAATCCTTATATTAATAATTGATTAGATATAAATTTGTCTACATCATTTAGAAAAATAATAAGTATAACAAATAAAACAGATTGTTCAATAAATTTTCATTATAATCATTATCAGAATTTAAATGTTTCAATTAGGTATGTTGCATCACTCCCTCTTAAAAATACAGATAATCTATTTTTATAGATAATATAATTATATAATTTTTCTCTTATCTACAGTCCATGAATTTCTATAAGATAAACTTTCATTAAAACAATGCGAAAGAAGCTATGAATATATGCTGCAGTTTAATATTTCGAACAATTTCTTATATTCTTTCCTTTGGCTGTTTTGAAAGCTTTATTATGTTTTACTAAAAGACTAAAAACAATTGATGTATACGACCTTGTGGGTTCAGGACTGCTTATAAGCGCTATTTTCTGCAAATTAATGGAAAGAACAAAGGCGTTACGTTTGTGCAGAGCAGCTATGAAAAAGAGATGGTAATACTCACTTCTTTGGGACTGGGTAGATCCGACGTTGACTGAGGTATAGTAGGAATGGTAGGTTGGGCCGTCGTTCCTGTAGCTGCTGGGCTACCAAAACTGCTTTGCAACGTGCCAGCGTTGCTGGAGACAGTCTGTGAGGTTGGTACGGTAGCAGCTGACACTGGTGGCTGCTGCTTCTTTTTTAGATTTTCCTTATAGCAAAGGGAACAAAGGCCATCAGTAGCTGGCGAGCCATAAAATCCACAGCCACTGCGACACAGAGCTTGCATAGGATTAGACTCTCGTTCCATAACTCTCGTCTTTTATTAGTGTACACTCTTCGTAAATCAAGGAAACTTCTGTTTATATCCTAGTTGCGATCACTGCCTTGAGAAACAGTGGAAAGTTGCAGTCAGCTTTGTGTAGGATAACTAGGTGTAGTCCTTTGCTGCAGCTCTCTTCCCAATTGCTCCTCTGCAACCGTGTGTCACCATGTACTCACCTGTTTAAAAGTAAATCATGCAATTAAGCAAAGGATAAAATAAAATGTCAATCAAGATCTTATATTACAAAGTTTTAAACTATAAAACTTATGAATAGATAATATAAACTTGTTACACATAAAATTATACACGTAATTAAAATATATGTAAATATAACAATATTATCATCTCATAAATTTAATTCTTATATTTAAATGTCTAAATAATTATTTTTTATACATGTACATCAAATGGTTATTTTTTTATACAAATACATCAACAACAGTATGTATTGAGAGAATATAAAGTACGTTAAAAATTAAAACGCATCATAAACAAGAATGACAAAGCCAAATCACAATCAAAGATCACAAAGAGTACTGCACTTCATAAATATTAAACTTGTGGTGTTACAATTAATTCATAAAATATATTACATTATCGCGATCTTTTTTATGACAAAGAAATAAATGCGAAGACAACACAATTAAAAGGAACAACATCAAAATCACAGAATATAAAAGCTACAAAAGAGGAAATCCGAGATGACGACGTTTTTAAGACGAACGATAATGATGACGAGCGTTTAAGAGAAGAAAAGCAGGCAAATTTTCGAAAATTTCAGATAACACGATGTGTACTTAGCAAGAAAATGGGACTTCTCACAATTTCTCCTGCTTCCTGCGTCATGCAAGGTCAGAACATAAATATCTTCAATGAGGTATACCCTTGAGATCTGTGGACACGCCGAGGCACTCGATAATAACCGAAATTTCAACAAAAGGAGACAACAATGTGGGAGAAAAAGGAGATCCGATGCTCCGACCGCGAGGCCAAAACGTGAGCGCGACAGAGAGCGAGAAGGCGAGAGAGCTCTGGTGGGAGCGAGCGAGAGCGCGAGAGGAAGAGGGGAAAGCACAATTCCTAGGAATTTTTACTACGTCATCTTGGCGATCTGATATTTCGTTTTCCTTCCCTTTTGTTCCGCAGCTTTTGATAAGGCAGCTTAGGTAGCCAGGGACTCTCGGGCAGCTCGTAGCCCGAGAGAGAGAGATCATCAACGGAGACGACGGGATGGGAAGGCGTGAATCGTGATCGCGTGCAGCGTTACGATATTACTCACTTTCCAACACGCAGCCGTGTCGCAACCGATGCACAACATGGAGTAGGAATTTGTGCGAGGCATTTAAGTGGCGGCAGCCGTATCCTCTTATCGCGATCCGCGGACACCCCGCTCACAATAGGACTGTCGGGAGAGAATCGCCTGTCTCTTTCCCACGTCACGATGGCTGTCTCTCTCTTCCTCGTTTTATAATCCTCCCGCGGCGCACTTCGCGCAGCACGCGCAATCACCAACGAAACGGGGCTTACGGGGCAGCCTTCGCCTCGCGTTCCCGTGCTTCCCGTTCCCGTTCCCGTGCTTCCCGTGTGTGGTGGTGGCGGTGGTGATGGCAGCGGCGGCGGTGGCGGTGACTGCGGCGACGGACGAGCCGTGGTGGAACGCGCTGTGAACGTGGCCGTGTTCGCTCGCGCACGCGGATCGTCCAGACTTCCCCGACGCTCGATATTATCTCCAATCCACGCTAGCCCGCAAGGACGGAGGCGAAACAACGATAACGACGGGCGAATGTTTTCATGATGGCGATCGGTCGACCAAGAGACAACCAGAGACGCGCTGTGTGCACTGTACTGGGCTTTTGGGCGGACGCGTAAGCGACGGCGGCGGACGCGGTGAACGGCGACGGCGGTTGCCTTGCCACAACCGCTTACCGCTTACCGCACTCCGCAGCGGCGGCGGCGGCGACGGCGCATCTAGCGCCGATCGTGGATACACGGAACTTCAACCGTTCGCCGTCATCAGCACAGCTACGCGCTCGGTTGGTATACATGGGTATACACCCCGAGCTGCCTCGAGGACTACCGCGCGCACTTTCTCCCGCTCTCGCAGACTCCCTCTTTTGACGAGAGAATTTCTTCGGCGAAAATTTCATCGTCGATCATCGCTTCCCACGATTTCGTATGCGGCACGCAACCGAGAGCGCCGGTGATTTCCGAACGCTCTCCGGCGAGAACGATTGGCTCTAATTGAATTCAATTGAAGCCGCGAATCGTAAAAAAAAGCGGGACAAGTCCACTTTTTGACACACTCTCGACACGGTTCTCAGCTTCTCGGCCGCGCGAGCTATTTGGAGATTATTCTATGTAAAGATGAATTTTATGCTTTTATAGTGAAGATATTTTATACGAGAATATATGTCACTGATATATCACGTTATGACCGGTTATGAATACGTGGTCTAAAAATGCGAGGATCTGTGTCATTTTTTTCAAATCAATGAAAGATTCAAAAGTCAACGAAATGCAATTCAAAATATAAATCAAATTTTTTTACATACAGATAAACAGTTCTATAAATTTCTCCAGGTGACAACTTTCTGCCTTCAACGAGATTAAGACATTAAATTGTTAGCTGGGTCATCGATCTACTGTATTATTAGCTTTGTTCTCTAATTGAAAAGGAAATGAGAATATACTTAAATGTGACACAAATTCTCTCATTATGATCAGATCCAAATTAATTAGGAGATGATATTTAAAGAGCTCATGTTTATGCTTCCGCACAGTTCATGAAAAGTTAAAACTATGAATTTATAGCAAATTAGAAGCATAACACTTTTTTCTACAAATTAATTTCGCAAAATTCAAACACATACAATGCCACGTATCTATATATATTTTCCATATATTTTTAATGAAGAGTGCCCCAAAGAGTCTGACCTCAATTCTAGATGATTAAATTGATGATTAATTTGGAATCTAGTGTCCAAATTTTTATTGTTGAAACATATATACATAATAATAAAAATTTACCTGTATATTATAATAATAAACGTGACGTTCAACTATTTGTAAATAGAATTAAGGATTCGCTGCAACAAGGAACTAACCTATATTTTGCAAAAACGAAGAAGATAAACTCTAAAGTTAAAATGATGGGAAAAATATATTTATTTTCTGTTTATATTACAAAATGTCGTTTAGCCCACTGGTGCTTTTAGTTAACAAAAAATAAAGGAAGATTTGCGAAAAGGGCGTGATCAGACTATAAGATTTAATCTCATTAAAATTCAACTGCTTAAAGCGGTTCTCGAATAAAGAGTATCTTTATTTGAATCAAATGGTACCTCTTCCCTATCGGTTATAAGGGGTCGCAGGAGGTTAAGAATTGGGTCAACCGTCTCGATCGGGAAAAAGTTATTAGAACGAGCATATAGAACCGTACCGAAATAGTAGTTGAAAGCATATGCATGTATGTTCGAATGTCTGACGAGTTTTCTATCGATATCGAATAACCGAGTGAATTATAAGTATGCCGAACTGAAATGCATAATTCGCCACACCTAGTATCTTTAGAAGATAAAATGAAGGGTAACTTAATCCGACAGGAAAAGGATAACTTTGCTTTCGTAGAATTCAACCATTTAAGCATTCAATTTTCTGATTATATATACACTGAGAAAAATGTTTGGTTGGATTAATTGGAATTCTGATTGAAAATGGACAAATCAGAATTTTTTGATTAAATCTATTAAAATTCTAATAATAATGATCTGAAATTCTGATTGATATAATTAGAATTTTTTGGTTCGTCCATCTTCAATCAGACATTTTTCTCAATGTATATATTTCGCAAAGTATTTATGTAACGATAAATATATGTAGATCTTCAAATAAAAAATTTTCAAATTTCTCAAGATAAATGTATAATAATACGTTAAAGAATTTATCTCGAGATAATGAGCTTTCGAAATTATAAAATTATTTCACAGACAATCGCAATTTAAAACGTACGAAAAGTGCAAAATATTTCCTGAGTAACATTAGTATTAATTGCATCAGATATTAAGCATAAAAATTTTTTATTAGGTTCTGATAAGCTTCAAACAGCATAAAATTTAGCTATCGTGATCATACGTAATCGCGTGTTCACTTAATCAGAATATTGAAAGACTTGACTTATGACCGTGATTTCTCAAATAAAATGCTTCAACGAAGAATTGTCAAAGTTCACTAGACCTTAATATAGACAACTGCAATGCGCGTAATATAAAATACATATACATGTACAAAGCAGGAGAATATAATTTTAAACTCTCCGTCGAAACACAAAAAATTCAATTTTAACAAGTGACAAACAAAAACACATCGTGACAAGACGTGTCCTCACCTCTAATTGCGCGAGAGAAATATCTTTCTCGAGCAATTGTATCATGTTAACCTCGCGAAAAGAAATCGTCGCACGAAATTGCACGTGAGGGACAGAAAGCTGAAATTTGTAAAAGAGAGGGTCTGCGGGATCGGAGCAGCTATAGAAACGCCGCGATGCGGTGATCAGCGGACGGCACTGAAGTGAGGCGATAATGCGAGGAAAGCGAATGGATAAGAAAGGGGCAGCGGAGAAGGGAGGGGAAGGGAGAGGGGAAGGGAGAGGGCACGCGCGCTCACAACACCAACGCCCCGATGCGGAGCTTTCTAATACCAGCAGACCCGCCGATCAAATCTTTCCCCCGTAAGGTGTTTCCAATGCACGCTCCTACGCTATGCGCGACGGAAAAGACTGGGACAGGTGGCACGACAACGAATTTTAATACGGCGATTACTCGACGTTTAATTCCAGTCTCGCCCGTCGTCTCTCACGCTCGTGTAATTCTGTGGCGCCGCCACGGAAACGATATCTCCTACGCCAAACATCGCCGAGCAAACTCCGATCACCAAACACGCGCTTCTCGAATGACTTGCTCGCCTCCGAGCGAGGATGTTACTATGTTAGCTGTGATAAAGCACTCCGCTTTCAGCCTCTCTCTCTCTCTCTCTCTCTCTCTCTCTCTCTCTCTTTCAGCGATAGAATTTTACTCGAATTGAATCACTAAAACGTAATTTTTCATTAAACATAATTATTGTTAAGTAAATTTTGATATACGACAAAGATTTCCATTTGTTTCACCTATTAATGAGAAAACCTATTAATGTTATAATATTGTTAATATATGTAATTAGCATTCTCGAACCTCTTAGATTCGAAAGTTTCGAATAGCTCGGATATAATCATCATAGAAACTGAAATCCGAATCGAATCTGGCCTTCTTTTCGAAAAATATCGCGTTCAAAAATACGTTACAGATTATATTACAGGTTTTTGTGATTCAGATTAAAATATATAAATCCTGAGTCCGATTTTTTATCTTGGAACGAAGTGAAAATGATAAAAATAAGTAAATTTACTCTAGTGACCAATAAAATGATAAATATTCCAATACATTCGCTCACTTTCACCACATTCCAAGATACATAACCAACCGCCGATTCAATCAAAAAGTGACTTCTTAGTTCTTAACAATAGCTTAATGACGAATATTAATAAGACACTAATAATACTAATAAGACGTCATTAAAATGTCACCTTGCTACTTCAATTCATATTTCAATAATTCAGTCGCTTTCCTCGGATAAAATTCAAATGATATTTCGAAAGAAAGATTATTAACGGAAAGAATTAACAAGCGTTACAACACGAAAAAAAAAACGCTTAAAATATCACGCGAAAAAGATCGTAAATATTATATAGAGGATGTTTGTTTCATTTACTCGAAATTATCGTGCAACGCTTTGTACTCGCAAGTAGACACCGACGCGAGTAAACACCGACAGTTTTGCACAATCCATCGAAAAGTAATTTCTCCCTCCACTTTCGACCCGCGAGCCAACTTAATCGGGCTTTCACCCCACTTTTGCGCTCTTCGTCGAACCCGACCGACAACACGGACGCGACATGTGAAATTTTGACAGCTGCAATACCACGTCGATGTGACGTCAAATGGGTAGAACGACACTGCGCAAGTGAAGAGAGAAAATTAAATGACATTTAATTAATTTGGCCCAGCATTTTCTGCAATGTTCTCTCCTTTATTCTTACTCATTCTAATTTTTTTTTTTTATTTGCTTCGTCCAATTCATTCGAGAGTTATATTTTAGAAACATTCCTAGGAGTTAATTCTTCTCAGATTTTTCTATAATTTGAAACATTTATATGAAGACATATACACTTCACGTGTCACGAACGGTCCACTCAAATTTATATGCTTATTTAACACAAGATGAACATATTAGAAGATAACACAGATATATATTAACAATATTATTTAAAAATTAAACGTAAAAAAATAATATTGACACAGTTTATAAACAAACCTGGGAACATTTTTTTCATTAAAACTAATATTTATGATATGTTAAATCAATATTTTATTCGTTCAGCTTTGAATTTACGTTTAAAAACATTATTTTTTTGTTATTTTGTTCATTTATTCATAAAATGTTACTTTGACATTAAGAAATGCTGACAATTAATTTAAATATAATATGTTCAACACCAAATTTAAGGATTTGAGTGGATCATTTCCAAAATACAATAATACAACATACAAATATAAATGTTTTTTAGTGTGAAGATCTGCTTCACTTTTTGAAAGCGTTGCTTTCACATTCAGAATCTTTATTTTCTCTCTTTTCAACGCCCAAATATATATTTATCTGTTTAAAGTACGATAATTTTTAAGAATTTCAAGCAACGTGAAAAAATTTATAGTTTTTCTTAGTTTTCCTTGACGAAGTTAGAAACCTTCATAATCATTTTATTCGCGCGATAATTCTTGAGATTTACGAGACAATAGCTTTAACATTGTTCTTAGTGACGTCACAACTACGTCGTCATCGGTTATAAGAATCGAGCTGGCGAGCTTCTTCGTCACAATGAGAAGGCAATGCCACAGCAAGGCCGAGACGAACAAAAGTGAGCGGCGCAGAAAGACAAATTAAATCTTTTCTCTTCTTTTTTATTGCTTCCTGAAAACTATGTCTATCTACACTGTCCGTACACAGAGGATTGTAAATATCTTTAATACGTAAATTTGTAAGTATATTCGGAGCGTGTGCATTCTGTCTATTATTTATTCGTGCATCATGACTGTTGGTACTCGAGAAATGGTAACGCTCAAAATAGTTGAAAGTAATATTTCGTAGTCTGACATATCCATTTGTTTTTACG